AAAAAAAAAAAAAAAAAAAAAAAAAAAAAAAAAAAAGACTGCGAATCACAGTGCTAGGTACGTATGATATAAAGACAAAAACAAAAAACAGCCTCCGACTTCAAAGAACTTATGTTCTACCGATTATGGCATGTAAACATAAGTAAATTCAAGATAATATGAGAAAGGAAACAGCAATAACAAGGGTATCAGGAAATGCACTAGATGGCCTGAGACTTGATGGAAGATAGGATTTCCAGAGGGGGAGAGGAGAAGAGACAGCATTCCAGGCATGAGGACAGCCTGGGCAAAGGCATGGATGGAGATGGGAGATGAAATGTCAAATGAGGGGAACAAGAACATAGGACACTTTGGACAGAACATAGAGTATACAAAGCAGAGTAATACAAAGTAAATCCAGAAAGGTAGTCTGGAACCAGATTGTGAAGGGCTTTAAATGACAAAACGAGGAGTTTGTGTTTTATTCTAGAGGCAATAGGAAGCCACTGGAAATTCTTGAGCTAGGAAGTGACATAATCAGAATTATGCCTGAGAAATATTATCTTGGCAGCTGTGTGGAGGATGGATTGCAAAGGTTAGAAATAGAGAGCAGGAAGGAGACTTTTGCAATAGTCCTCCCCAGAAGAGATAAGGAATTGAACTAGGGTGGTGGCAGTTTGAATGAAGAAAAGGGCACAGATACAAAAGATATGGTGATAGTAGAATTGACAAGATGTGGCCACTGACAGTATGTGGGCAGGGGTGTGATGAGGAAGAGGGGGAGGTTAGGGATAAGTCTGAGGTTGAGGTTATGAACCTGGGTGACTGAAAGAGTGGTGATGCATTCAACAGAAGCAGGATAATTTGGGGGAGGAACAAGTATAGAAAGAAACAATGATTCTATTTTGGCCGTGTTGAATTTGAGGTGCCTTGGAACTCTCAGATGGAGATGTCCACATATTGCTTCAAAGTGCTCTCTTAGAGGGTGGTCACGTCAGTCACAAACCCAGCTCCACTGTTCTCCTGAGCATTATCTGCATACTCCTCACTCTATGATTCAACTTCTCCAACACTCATCCCCATTTGCCTTCAGCTCAGAGGGACAACTGGTGCTCCACACTGCAGTCTCGGCTAAAGGAGCAACGGCTTCTAGGCAACCCCCGGCCACCTCATCCACCCCGTCCTCTCCGCACAGGGATCCTAGAACTTCGGGGACACAAAGCTAAAGTGTTTGCAGCTCTGAGCCCTGGGGAGCTAGGACTGTACAAGAGTGAGCAGGTAAAGGGGAAAGATGTAGCATAAGGGACGGGATGGAACCTGAGGTGGCACAGGCTGGATGGAGCCCTTAAGGAGGGTACTGTCCTCCAGCTCCTGAGCTCTAGATGGCTCTCTGATACTTCTCCCTCAACTCTCCACCTCTTTAGTCCTTTTCTCTGGGCATTGGAATTTGTTTCATTGAGCTTCGGGGCTGCAGTGTCCGGGAGACCAAGAATCGAAGCTTTGACCTTCTTACACCCCATCGATGCTTCAGGTGGGGATACAGGGCTTAAGTCTAGGATGGGACCTTCAGGTGGGGGTACAGAAGCTGGAATTCAGGGAGTCTTTGCCCTTCTGAATAACTCAGAAATGGGACTTCCTGGTGAAAAGACTTAGGGGAATTAGTGAGAGGGGTCAGTATCATGTTAGAAGGGTGTCTAAGGGGGCTTATGGATTCTCAGAATCAGAGGGGGGCTCAAAAACTATATAGTCCAATCCCTATTTGAATAAGCATCCTAAGACATATCCAACAGGTAACCATCCAGTCTTTACTTGAAAGCTTTCTAGTGAGGGAGAGCCTTACCACCTCCAAGGCCATCCACTCCTTTTGCATAGCTCATGATGAAATTACTAATAGCTGCCTCCAGGGAGCCAGTGGAAGCAGGAGGGTCTGAGGATGGATCTGTAGGAATGTACAAGGTGGGTCCTGATCTGCTGGCTCAAATATACCCCCAGCTTCACAGCGGAGTCAGCCTGTACTCGCCAGGTCTGGGCATCTGCACTGCAGGAGGCCATTACTGAGACTCTGTCTGACTATGAGGTGGCTGAAAAAATCTGGTCCAACCGAGCAAACCGACACTGTGCAGACTGTGGAGCAGCTCGTCCTGACTGGGCCTCAATCAACCTGGGAGTGGTCATCTGCAAGCATTGTGCAGGTGGGGAATGCTGGGCCTAGGGATAGAAAGACTGAGAGGGCAAGGCAGAAGTAGCAAGGGGATGACTCTGAGGAGGGGAGGGCAGTAGGAGCTCTATCTCCAAGGCTGGTAGTGTTCAAACCAGCCGCTTTCCTATAGGACAACATCGGGCCCTGGGCTCTGGGGTATCTAAGGTGCAGAGTCTGAAACTAGACACAAGCATCTGGAGCAATGAGATCGTGCAGGTAAAGGCAAATGGCGAAAAAGCTGAAAGCAGAGGTGGTTAATGGAAGAGGTTGGGTGGCCCAAGAGAGGGTGTCTGAAAAAAACCAAAAAGGATTTGGGGTATCCCAGGGAGCTGGAGATCTGTGAAAACGGGCCCCTGTTGGAACCAGTCATCACAGCCCCTTTGATCTCCTTCTCATCTGTCAGCTTTTCCTCATCCTGGGCAATGATGGAGCCAACCGGTTCTGGATAAAGGGACTGCCCCCAGGAGGAGGGCTGCATCCAGATACTCCCCCTGGCCCCCGTGGGGACTTCATCTCCCGCAAATACCGGCTTGGCCTCTTTCGGGGACCCCATCCTCAGTACCCTGACCACAGTCAGCTGCTGCAGGTAGGAGGGGTAGGGAGGATGGAAGGGGTCAACTTGAGGAGGGCAGTTTGGGGCTGTCCCTTAGACTCTCTGGGTTTGGGAGGGGGTGATAGCTACAGTGGGAGGGGATTGATGGCTGCCCCCTCCTTCACCCAGGCACTGTGTGCAGCTGTGATGGGACCCAACTTGTTGAAAACCATGATTCAGCTTTTCTCATATGAGGAACCGTGCTCTGAAGGCAGTTTCTCTAATCTCCTCCCCCTAGGTAATCCCTTTCTGGTGACTTCCTAGGGACCCTACCTCCAGCCCTCTAGGTCAAAGCCCCTTGCCTTTCTCTAACCTTGACATATCTTCCCAAATCCTCCCAGGACCTCTTCTAAGTTCCCTCAGTCCTGGATCCTTCCTTTATAATCCCCTTGGGTCCCTCCCTACTACAGAAAAATCTGGAGTTTAAATAATGGTCAGTTTTATATAGGCTTCATCCATGCAGAGTTGAATAGAAGGGGGCTTGAGGGACAAGTAAATGGGACTTGACACCTCATCAGCCCCACCTCACATTCTACCCTCCATCCCAGACTTCAATTGGGTGGGTGGGAAACTGAAGAATCTGGGACATGCTCCCATTATGATTGGAGCTAGGTAACTTGGGCTCACACCATCTACGCTGATCTCCTGACCTAATCTCCCCCCACCCCTTCCAATGTCATCCTTCAGACTCATCCCCTAGTGTGTACAATGAAGTCCTGGTGCCTGCTGCACTAAGTGGCTTTTTGTACTGCAGCCCAGTCAGCAGCAAACCTGGACCTCCACCCCACCGCCGGGGCCGGGATGGTGAGAAAGGGGACCTTGGCAGAAGAGTTGGGGGAAGAACAGAAGTGGTTCTGGAGGGGGGCCTGGGGCTTGTGAACACTTAATGCTGATGGGGAGGAATCTATACTGGGAAGGCTTATAAAGAAATGTTTAGAATGGAGGATACTGCCCAATATGTGGTGCCTCCCCCGTTTTTGCAGCACCCCCTAGGCTGTGGTGTGTGTTGGGAGCAGCCCTGGAGATGTTTTCATCAGAGACCAGTCCAGAGCCAATCAGTTTGATCCAGCCTCAGGATGTGGTGTGTCTGGGGGTAAGCCCCCCACCAGTTGACCCAGGGGACCTTGACAGGTAGCCCTCCAAGTACTTTCATAGTCTTTTCTTTCTATCCTCCCATCTTATAGATCCTTCTTCTTCTCTGTAATTCTCTCTGCTTCATTTCCCCAACTCTATGCCCCTAGGTTCCCATTCTCCTTTGAACTCATTCTGACTGGAGAAAGGGTCCAATATTTTGGAACTGATGGAGCTGATAGTCTGGAGGCCTGGACCAGAGCAGTGGGCAAGGTGAATCAGAGCTGAGAGTTCCCTTCATGATACACCATTACCTTTCACAAATTCCCTTTCCCCATCTCCAGGGCTCTCAAGCCCAGGCCTGTGGCATTCCCAAGGAGATGGTTAAGTCCCACCAACACCTCCACAACAACATCCCCTCTATCTCTATTCCCAGATAAACTAATTGATGTTTCCATTTCTTTCCATTTTGATTTTTCTCTCCTTTGATTTTTCTTCATCTCTCCCTGTACTTCCCTGTCTCTCCCATCTTTCCTCTTTGATCTTTTTCCTCATCTCTCCATGTTTCACTTGATGTCTTACTCTGTGTCTCCTCTGTCTATGTCTCTACTTTCTCTTCACCTGCAGTGGTTCTCCCCACTAAGCTGTCACCAGCTCCTGGGCCCTGGCCTGCTGAGGCTAGGCCGTTTACGGTTGCGGTCCCCTTCTCAGACTGCAATGACCCCAGGCCTCTGGCTGTCTGCCTTTGGCCTCCTCCGAGGTGACCACCTATTCCTGTGCCCAGCACCAGGCCCTGGCTCCCCAGCTCCTGAGGACACTGTGCACCTGAGAAGACTGCAGGAGATCAGTGAGCTAGGGGTGGGCGGGGTGGAGAGGGAAGGAGGAATTGAGGGGAGGAGGGACTAGAGGAAATGCCCTAATCTTTCCTTTGAGGGTCACTTAGAGGTCATAAGGGGTCTCTCCTCACTCTTCTCCCTACCCCTTCTAGGTGTGGTATCTGCAAACGACAGCCCTGATAAGAAAGACCATCTAGTCCTGGTAGAAACAGGAAGGTAAGAGCCCTTGAAGGAGCTGATCCTGCCCACCCCACCCCCAGCACTGGCTGTCCCTCTCCAGCACTCTGGCCTCATCTTGTGGCCTTGCTTCTGATGACATGGCCTGGTTGTCTCTGTGCACTCTGCCTCCTCTTCAGCTCTGCAGCCTGATCAGATTGAGGTATTCCTGCCCTCTGCTGGTAGCCGGAGGACTCAAGTCTAAAAATGAGCTGTCCAAAAATGGATTGGCCTGTCATAGGAAGTAGTCACTTCCTCATTGCTGGAGTTTACATTACAGTAGACACTGAATTACCATTTGTTAGGGATATCATGTGGAGAGAGTCTCTTGCTTAGCATAGATGGGCACTGAGGTCCCTTCCCACCATTAGATTCTAAAATTCTTTGGCAACTTGGCTCAGTAGCTTCACACCACCCGTCATTCTATACTGGTTCCCCTTCATCTGGCTCTGACCCAAGTCTCCTTGGGTCTCAGGACCCTGTATCTACAGGGAGAGGGGCGTATAGACTTTGCTGGCTGGAGCACTGCCATTGGAGGAGCAGCTGGAGGGGGGGGCACAGCGCTGCAAGGGCAGCAGATGAGTCGAGGAGACATTCCCATCATTGTGGATGCCTGCATCAGCTTTGTCACTCAGCATGGTGAGGAGGGACAGAGGGGAGAAGGAGACAGCACAGGGAGTGGTTCTATAGAACTGAGAGGGGAAGCATCCCTGGCAAGTAGGCTCTGTTAACTTCATCCAGTGCCATGAGTAAGAGAGCACTATCTGAGGGGCATGGAGGATTAAGGGTGGGTACTGGGCATGTAGAGGAGGATAGAAGATAGTTGAAGAATGAAGACTAGCAACTTTGAGATGTGAGAAAAAATAATGGAGGATAACAAGGTGCAATGAACTGTGACGGGCCGTGTCTGTAGGTCTACGTTTGGAGGGTGTATATAGGAAGGGGGGTGCTCGGGCACGAAGTCTCCGGCTCCTGGCTGAGTTCCGGCAGGATGCACGGTCAGTGAAGCTCCGGCCAGGAGAGCACTTTGTGGAAGATGTAACGGACACACTCAAACGCTTCTTCCGGGAGCTGGATGACCCTGTTACCTCTGCACGTTTGTTACCCAGATGGAGGGAGGCTGCAGGTAACTCCAAAGACCTCCTAGGAACTTGCCACAAGCAATTCAAACCCTTCCAGGATCCTCCCTCTTCACACTAATCCTTTCTCCATCTGGAGGTGGGGGTGGGGAGGTCATCCAAGTATATGACTAAGAGATAAACCTAAGTCATGCTTAGTTGTATCTGAACCCTGGTGTAGAGGAGTTTATGCTCTGGAGTGCCCCTAACCCCATCTCTACCTTATGTAAGTCCCTGCCTCTAACCCTAGTCTGTCTTCCAATTTTTACTTTCCCCAAACCTCATCTTCCTCTTTTCAGAGTTACCCCAGAAGTCTCAGCGGCTAGAGCGGTACAAGGAGGTGATTGGATGCCTGCCCAAGGTCAACCACAGAACACTGTCCACTCTCATTGGTCACCTCTACCGGTCAGTCTAGCACAGAGGTTCCCAAACTTATTTGGCTTATCGCCTCCTTTAAAAAAAAATTACTCAGCGCCCCCCTAGAAATCTACTTTCTTTAACCCTTTAATGGTTTTTTTTGACATTTGCATCATTTTGAAAAAAAATAAAATATTAAAAAGACACATCTTAAATTCTAATAACTTGTAAATTTGTGGGTTTTTTCCTGCATTGAAATTTTAATGATGAAACCATATAATATTGTATTGTAAACAAGTCATTACACACATATATTCTTGCTGGACTTCCTGACAATGCCCCACAAGCTTGCCTGCCAACACTTGCTTGTTAAGACCTGTCTGTAGACTTGAACACTAATCCATTATAACTTGCATTTTGTGTGTTCATTTGAAAAAGAATGTAATCCCTACAACTTTAACTCTATTACATGACAGATGAAACATGTATAAACAGTTTTTCAAAATTTTCTTCTCTTATCTTTTTTCCTTATGCTTCCACCACCCCCTTATTTTTATTCAGCGCCCCCCAACTGCACTAGAGGCTACTACTCCTCCAGGATGTGGTATCTCCCACTTTGGGAACCTATGGTAGCCCAATGTTTCTTCATCTCCCAAGCTGACCTCACAGTGTTTTTAACTCATTGCCCATAATGGTCTCTTAAAGGACTCCTGCCATTGACTTCAGTCTAACAATTGGACTATGTTAGTGGTCACATTCCAGGACTCTCATGCCTCTCTCCCAGGGTGCAGAAATGTGCAAGTCTGAACCAGATGTGTACTCGGAACCTGGCCCTGTTATTTGCACCAAGTGTGTTCCAGACAGATGGGCGAGGGGAGCATGAGGTTCGGGTGCTGCAGGAACTCATCGATAACTACATATCTGTCTTTGATGTAAGGAGGAGAGACTTCCCAACTCCAGTGACTCTTTAATCCATTGACATTGCACATCCTCAGTCTCAATGCCTTTCAATCCTTCTCCCCTTCACCAGCCCTCAATATCAATAGCCTGAACTGCCCCACATCAGTGGCCATCTCTTTTCTCCCTCCCTGAGGCCTGTAACCCTTCCTCCCAAGACCTCACCTTTGTGACCACGCTGTTGTGACTGTGTCACTCTGGCCTTGTTTCTTTTCCTATTTATATGTTTTATTGATGCCTTTTTGTTTTTATGTCATAGGTATTTCCAGATACTTCTCCTTTCCCCCATCCTACCCCAATGGCCTTTTATTGTGACCAAAAAAAAAAAAAAGAAGCAGTTATGAAAAACCAAATTCTGACAATATATACAACATTCTTAACCAGTAGTTCTCCATCCCTTAAATGAAATTAGGGATGTACATTTCATCTTTTCTGATAGTCTCCTCATTTCTACCACTCTCACCCCACTGACCCTCAACTGCTAATCTCTGACCCTCCTCATCCTTCATAATAAACACATTCTGATTTTCTCAGGGCTTCTAGGTGGAAAGGTAGGGAGCTAGGTGGCATAATGGGTAGAACCCTGGACCTGGAGTCAAGAAGACCTGAGATAAAATCTAGCCACAGATACTTACAAGCTGTGTGACTCTGGGCAAGTCACTTAACCTCTGTCTGCCTCAATTTTCTCAGCTATAAAATGGGGATAATAATAGCATGAACCACCCAGGGTGGCTGTGAGGATCAAATGAGATAACATTTGTAAAGTACTTTGTAAACTTGAAGTGCTATATAAATGCTAACTATTATTATTATTATTATTCCACCACCCAGAAACTTTCTCTATTAGGTTTCTTTATGCTCCCATAGTTCCCCAACACTTCCCAGTGTCTCTTACTCTCCCACAGATCGATTCAGACCAAGTGGCTCAGATTGACCTGGAAGTCAGTCTCATAACTACCTGGAAGGATGTGCAGGTAAATCGGCCCAGATCCTCACTTATAGCATTGGGGGGCATCAAGAGAAGATGCTGAGGGGCAGCTGGGTGGTCCAGTGGATAGAGCTCTGGCCTTGGAGGCAGGAGGGCCTGAGTTCAAATCCAGCCTCAGACACATGACACTTATTAGTTGTGTGACCCTGGGCAAGTCACTTAACCTTGATTGCCTCACCCAAAAAAAAAAAAGATTCTGACTCTCTGGCTAAATCAGGAGACTCTTCCAAAATTCCCCTCTGGATCCCTTCCCTATTTTCCTAGAACCTCAAGATGTGGAGTTCTCTCCTTCCCTTTGACCCTCTGACCCATCCCTCACCTCAATCTCTATCCCACTCTCACCCTCCAATCTATAAAGGCTTCAAGGGATTCCAAATGATATACTCAACTAATTCCCCTGTCCCTGTCCCAAGTATAAGGGCCAGGAGGAAACTAAGCAATGTGAGTAAGTATGGCCAGTGATCTGAAGCAGCAAGAGGGGGCCTCTGAGCTTGACCATTTATCCACACCTGCTTCTCTACTCTTCCATTGACTGATTTCTTCCCACCCCACCCCAAAGCTGTCACAAGCTGGAGACATCATCATGGAAGTGTACTTGGAACAGCAGCTACCAGACAACTGTGTCACCCTGAAGGTCAGTCTTGGAAGGACTGGAAAGGAAACAAAAGGATGGGAGGAAGATTGAGAGCTGCAGCCCTGGCTCTTGCTATCTTTCTCTGGCCTCAGGTTTCCCCAACACTGACTGCTGAGGAGCTGACAAATCAGGTACTAGAGATGAGGGGAGCAATAGCTGGCACAGACCTGTGGCTGATGTTTGAGATCCGGGAGCATGGAGAGCTTGGTGAGTTGGGCTCTGATGAGGACTGGCCATAGGTGGGAATGCATTCCAGGCTATGGGCTCCTCTAATCTCTATGCCTTACCTTTCAGAGCGGCCCCTGCACCCAAAGGAACGGGTTCTAGAACAGGCCCTGCAATGGTGCCAGCTCCCTGAACCAGGCTCTGCTTCCCTGTTGCTGCGCAGGGTCTCCCTAGCCCAGGCCAGCTGCCTCTTCACAGGTGAGGCCAGCCCCCTTAATCCCTTGTTTATCCCAATACTACTTGTGTCCTCTCCCTAACTAGACATAGAGTGTATAGTCCATCCACAGAGCACTGAACCACTTATCCTTGAATTATCCCACTCTCCCCAGTTTCCTTGGTCCATCACTTGCCCATCTATGCCCAGGTGTGCGTCGGGAGAGTCCTCGGGTGGGCCTGCTTCGGTGCCGGGAAGAGCCCCCCAAGTTGCTAGGAAGTCGTTTTCAGGAAAGGTTCTTCCTACTTCGGGGACGCTGCCTATTGCTGCTCAAGGAGAAAAGGGTGAGTACCTCTGGGATAAGTCATCTTCAGATCACCATAGCCCCATCCCAGAGATGATCCTCCATACGCCCCTGAGATGATTCTACAGTCTTCCCCACCTACCCTTGAAATTCCAGACACCATAGGACTGTGGGCTTGGAATTGGTAAGGTCACCTTGGGCAGGGAGGAGGTGATCCTGATCATTTTGTCATCCTCATGACCTTTCTGATCCTGGTTCCTCATGGACTAAATGACTTCCCTGACCTTGTCTCCAGAGTTCTAAGCCAGAGCGAGAATGGTCTTTGGATGGTGCAAAAGTTTACCTAGGAATACGCCGAAAGCTAAAGCCACCAACACCGTGAGTCACCTGAAGGCCTTGTCTTCTCTCCCATTCATACGTTTTCACACCTCAATTCATCCCTCTTCTTTTTCCTCAACATTGCTCTCCCTTGGTTCCTAGATGGGGGTTTACACTGATCCTGGAGAAGCTGCAGCTGTGAGTATCATCATTTATTCCAAGGCTTCCTTCCAATTTTTTTCCTCTTGCTCTACCTGTGCCGCTCTCCTCATTCCCTTTCTCTCCCTTATCTCTTTTCCCCTTTGACTCCTTTTACTTCATTCATTACCTTCTTCACTGTAGACTGACAGAGGGTAAAAATGTCTGGCTGCTACTGCATACCCCAGTTCAATGTCTTTGTTCAGCCACTTTCACTCTCTCTTTCCTTTTCTCTCTGACCACTCCTCAGCTACCTGTCCTGCACAGATGAGGATGAGATGTGGGACTGGACAACCAGCATCCTTAAAGCCCAGGTAAATAAGAAGCTGAGATGAGGAGGTGAGATTGTGTGCCCCACACTACTCTTCACACACTCCTTGTGAGCTGGCTCATACCCACTAATATCTCCCATGTCCCTGCCCAGCATGATGATCAGCAGCCTGTGGTCCTTCGGCGGCATTCCTCTTCTGACCTAGCCCGACAGAAATTTGGCACAATGCCCCTGTTGCCTATTCGAGGTGATAACAGTGGTGCTACCCTGCTTTCTGCCAACCAGACACTGGTATGACCCCTCCCAATCCCTCCTTAACCAAGTCCCTATACTCAAGACACAGTCTCGTTCCCCCTGCCCTTGTTCTTCACGGCCAAGCTTTGCAAGCTCAAGGTTGGGGTCAATCTACTCACAAGGGGACAGGGTTAGGGCAGCATCTCACCCTCCAATGAAGTCCACCATCCTCCATGCCCACTCCCTGCTCAGTGTCTCAATGTTCCTATTCCCCCTGCTCTGCTCTCTGCCTGTTGTTGCTCATTGTGTCTTTCCCACTCCTACTGCCTGTGCCCAGCGCCGACTGCACAACCGGAGGACGCTATCCATGTTTTTTGTGAGTACTGTGCCCCCTTCCCCCAATGCCATGTGCTCTCCTGTGTTCCTCTGTGCCCACCCCTGAACAGGGGACCGCTATGTGCTCCTGATGCGCTAAACATTGGTTGCCCTGTGAAGCTGGGAGCATGGTTCTGGGGGGGGGCGGAGCTACTAGGGCATTAGACTATCGTGACAGAGGGGAGGGGCCCTTAGGGGGATAAGAGATATCCCTGGAACCCTAATCCATCCACTCCACATCCAGCCCCTGAAGCTGTCTCAGGATTCTGTGGAAGAGCAAGAAGAAGAGGCTGAGGAGCCAGTGTATGAAGAGGTAGGAGCCTTCCCTGAACTGACCAAGGACACTCCACTTCCACTGGACCAGACATCTGAACCAGAGGTCCCTAAGGATTCCCCCACCAGCCAGACTGCATTTCCAGAGCAAAGCCAGAGCCTACAGAGTGACCGTCCCCCCCTTTCTAAGTCAAGCTCCCTTGGACAAGAGAGGGGACCCCCAGAGCCGCCTCCTGGTCCCCCTCGGAAAACCAGTTTTCAACATCATTTGTCTCTGGAAGATAAATTAGTACAGGAGCTAAACTCACTGATTCTGCGAAAGAGTGAGGCCTCTGCTCCCAGTCTCCCAGCCTCTCAGCCTCCCAGCTCCCCAACACGGACCCCTAACCCCATCAGCCACCCTATGCAAACTCCTGGACACTCTCCCAAATCTCCCTGTAATTCCCATTCCCCATCTGGCCAACCCCTTACATGACCCTGAAGCCAGCAACCAACTCTAGGATGAGGTGGTAGAAGGACCTGATGCTCAAGGGACAAAGGACAACAAACATTTGCTAAATGTCTACCCTCTGAGGGACTAAGTTTAAGGCTGGAGATAGAAAGATAAAAAAGGATTAAAAAGCCCCTGCCTTAAGGGAGCTTATATTCTACAGACTCCAGGCTCCTACCTACCTACAAGAATATTCGAAGCACCTATGGGAACTCCCTCAACCACAGACCAGGAGAGCCCATCCCTGTCCCTGAAAATCCAGTGTGGCATGGTATAGTGGAAAGGATGAGTCAGGAAACCTGGGCTTTAGCCAGGATTCTGTCACTAACTAGTTCTGTGACCTTGGACAAGTTCTTTCCCTCGCAGAACCTCAGTTTCCTCATCTGTAAAATAATGGAGTTTTTCTGAGGTCCCTTCCAGGACTGACATTTTATGTTCCAAGACCCCAAAAGAAGCTCAGTGTTCAGAAGGCCTGTTGGATTGAGAAGGTTTGGATGCAGGCAGCCAGGCAGGGTGAGAATCCATTGAATAAACTTTGAAAACAAAACAGCTACATGTTTGCCTTTGCTTCCCCTAAGAAACGGATTGAGGGGGTGGAGAAAACTGGGTCAAGGACATTAAGCTTAAATTATATACGACTTGGGAGAGTATCAGCTCAGTGCACGATGCCTTGAAAGAAAAGGGGAGAATTGGGGGAGTTTGAGACACTCCCTGGAAAATAGAGCACTTCTGGGGTAACAAGTGAGACATCCCTCTTCCACCTCCAGGGCGCTCCTCTCAGCCCAGTATCGCTGAGTACTGGGGAGCTTCTACAACGTACCTTTGTTTGGCCCAATTGTCTCTCCCATTCTCGGGCCCCAGGCAGCTCTCTCACCGGGACTGCTCTGGCTTTTCCGGTTCGGTGAGAATTTGGGGAAGTCAAATCCCAGAGCCCCCGAACCGGGACCTAACCCAGCCCTGGCTGCCCCTGTTTCCACCCTAGTTTCCCCCGAATCAGTTTGTCCCACCTCTAAGGGCATCGACGTCATCACAACCACTTCCTCTACCTTCTTCTGTCTGCTCCCCCCCCCTTTCCCCGTCCGGTGGTGGTCGGACTACAGTTGCTGATCTGCATATGTAAATAAACATATTTGCATAAAAGAATACATTGGCTAAAGAGACTAATTATGGGTTGAGTCAGCGGCTCAGACGGAAATGGAACCCAGGCGTCCAGACTCCCCAGCATAGGTTCTCTCCCCAGCCCCGCAGACGCCGCGTCCTCCCTGCGGCCCCTGACCTCCCTCTCTGGTCATTCACCCGCCAGGCTCCCCAGGGCTCCTCCCCGTCCTCCGCTTCCCCGTCGCCAGCCTCCCGAAGTTGGCGCGGCTGAGATCCGTGCTGGGGCTGGACAGGGGAAGAGGGGTGGTGGAAAGGGGGGCCGGGGGCGGGGCTTGTCTGGAGGGGTGGGGCCTCCAGGAGTTCCGGAGTCAGAGTCACAGCTTCGGTCGGGTCTGGAACCAGAGTGAAGATGCAGCCGCCGCCGCGAAAAGTGAGTGCACTTGGGAAGGTGGGGACAGAGCAGCCCGTCTGGCGGGCGGTGAGAAGGGGCGCCAGGGCCGGGGGGTCAAGGACGAGGGAGGGAGCGAGAAAACGAAGACAGCCCCGCCTCCTGGTCCCCGCCCCTCGAGCCTCCCCACCCCCCACGTGGGGTCCAGTTGGAGCATTTCTAGAATTGAGCTTCAGCCCCTATTCCTACCCCAGTGGAATAGATTCCCTTCCCCTTAGGTGAAGCCGGTCCAGGAGGTGAAGCTGTGCTTTCTGGAGCAGCTGAGCATCTTACAGAGTCGGCAGCAGAGAGAGGCCGACCTACTGGAGGACATCAGGTAGTTTCTCTTCTGGAGAAATCGACAGGAACCCTTAGCCAGGCCTGTTGAGGGGCATCAGCCGCTGTCTCTAACACCTCTTGACACACGCATAGAAACACCCCCAACGATACACACATGTTGCTTCCTACAGACATGCCGTCCCACAGACAGACCCCCCCTCCCCCGCAAGACACTACACAAACAGTCCTACGAATAGATACCCCTAACACTAGACTGTGTTGTGGTGGATAGGATAGGGAATGAATAGAGGAAGGGGATGGAAGGTCATAAACTATTCTACAGTTCTGAGATATACCAAGAAGAGAATGTGTTCACTATATTGTAGAAGGTGCTATATCTATAGCCCCCTCAATAAGCTTTTCTACCTTAGTACACACTATAGTATATAGTCCCTCATGCACATATACAGCCCCTAGTTAGAGATATCCCTAAAAAACCCTCCCCTAGCCCAGCCAACAGCCCAAGACTGTGTATATCATTTCCTCTTCTTCCGCCAATGCATATACAACTACCTCCCGAAATTCCCCAATAATATGTTTAGAAAATGCTCCGCTTCCTCCAAAATCTGTTTCACACAAACCTTATCTGTCTTATATGTCTCCACTTCCTTGACAGGAACCAAAGTATATTTCCCCAGGGTGCTAGCTATCTCTAACTCAGCCCCATTGGGGGTACTAGAGGCCATTGTTTTGGAGAAATAGCAGTATAGGCCACACTAAAGTCACTCCCTGATTCTATATATTCTAGTTCACTCCTAATCTCCCAACCTCATCCCATAGAGGTTGGGATGTATGGTCAGTGGCAATGGGTGTTAGGAGGTGCTGGAGGTGTGGGGAAGGTGGAGGAGCTAATAAACTTTTATCTCAACAGATCTTACAGTAAACAACGGGCAGCCATTGAGAGGGACTATGGACAGGTAAGGAATGGTTGTTCCTGAGGGCAGCTCCTCACATCTCTTCCCTGAGAAGTAGTACCCTGCTATTTATGCCCACTCATATCCCACACTCACCATACATGATATTCATACTTCTTTTCAATTCTGTGCATCCCAAACCCATTTCCTTTCCTTTCTCAGGCTCCCCCAAGGAACCATGAACCCTGACTGTCCTTTCCTTTACTCCATGGGTGGTGGTGGTGATGGTGATTGGTTTTGATATATGGGGCTGTGTATATGATGGGCTCTTCCCCTAGGCATTACAAAAATTGGCTGGGCCATTCCTGAAGAAAGAAGGACATCGGGGCTTGGAGACTGATAGCAGGTGGGGAACGGGAAAGAAGTGGAAAATTGGGGCAGAGAAACTAAATAAAGCTGGATGACCAAGATACTAAGCAGTCCCTGGGGATAGGGGGCCAGAGAGTTGGGCTTGGTGGGGTGGGGTTCAGGTGAACTTGGAAAGCTGAGGCTAGAGCTGATGCTGTAGCTAAGGTAGGAAGGAGGCTGACCCAGCAAGGACATGGCAGTGGGGGTGGGGAGGCTGTCAAGTGATCCCTGTGGCTAAGCTAATGGACAGATCGATTGATGGACTGATGGGTCTGCAGGGAATCAGGGGATGGGGCAGGCAAAAGAATCTGTTTCACTCATTGGGGGAAGGGGTTATAAACACAAAATCCTTGTTTCTCATGTATTTTAAGGATTATAATGCTCTAATATGCCTTCCCAACCCAACTCTGACCTTGGTTGTTGTTTTTTTGGGGTGAATGGGGCAGGACTGTGTTTAATGCCTGGCGATGCCTGCTGGAGGGCACCATGGCGGGGGGCCAGGCCCGAGTTCTTGCCGCTGACCGATACCGAGACTTGGCTGGGGGCACAGGGAGAAATGCCAAGGAGCAGCTGCTTAGGAAGGTGTGGGGAGTGGCTTTTGGAGGGTACACTGAGGAGAGAGGACTAAAGGGGGAGGACGTCCCGGAAAAGTGGGGTGGGCAGCTGACCTGAGGGAGGAGTAAGGTGGATGTGATGGTGCCCATGTATTTGGGAGGGTGCCCATGTCCTGGAGGTACCCCCAGGGTGCTGAGCAGTTGCAGCGGGCCCAGGCTGAAGTGCTGGAGTCTGTGAGGGAGCTGAGCCGGAGCCGGAAGCTGTATGGGCAGCGGGAGAGAGTGTGGAGCCTTGTTCAGGAAAAGGCAGCTGATGTCCAGGCCAGGTAGGGGCTCTGGGGAAATGGAAGTCCTGGGAGGGAGGCAGTAGAAGGCTGAGGGTGGGGGAAGCCCCAGAGCAGGACTAACATGGGGCAATAAGAGAGATATGTGATGTAGTATTTGGAGTCAGGAGATTTGGGTTAAAATGTGAGCTTTGGTATTTGTTAGCTATGGGACCATGGGGGAGTTACTTAATCTTTCTAAACTTCATTTGCCATATCTGTAAAATGGGATAATAATACTTGCTTTTTCTACCTCACAGGGGAATGAAGGAAACACTGCAAACCTTAAAGCACTATAGAAATGGGAATTATTTATTATTATTATTAATATCTCTAGGGCAGGGTGGGGGAGAGAAAAAATATACATAATAACTTTATTATATATTTAAAAGGAATAGCAAGTTGTACATAACAGATTTGCAGTTTCATATGCAATTATCTTTTTTTACTATATCATGTCATGGAAATGCTTGTCTTATTCCATAAATTGAAAATAAAAAATATATAAATAAAACATATAACATACCACAATACAACACAACATAACATGATTAATACAACTAGTTTCTCATTTACTTCCCTTCTCTATCTGCCCTAAATCTAACTCCTTCAGGCTGAATCGAAGTGACCATGGTTTGTTTCATACTCGGACCAGCCTTCAGAAACTCAGCGTCAAGGTCAGATGCGGGGATTGGCGTCCAGGGAAGATGACAAATGACTAGAGGATATGGCTGGGAAGTGATGAACTGTTCTCCAGTTTTGGGCTAAATTAAGAAGAAGCTATGACCTGTGGGAAATGCGGTGGGGGCTCCAGGGTGCCCTGTCCCACATGCTTATTTCTTCTTTTGTCCCCTCAGTTATCAGCCCAATCAGCCCAGTACTCCCAGCAATTGAGTGCTGCCCGGAATGAATATCTGCTTAGCTTGGCAAGCACCAATGCCCACCTTGGGCATTATTACCAAGAGGAGCTGCCTGCGCTGCTCAAGGTAAGTCAAGCCCTGTAGGACCCCGCCTTTGTCTCTGGAACATCACTGCTGTTATTCTAGCTGTGGCCTGCCAGAGGCCAAGCAGTCAGAAGCTCTTCCCTCTCTGCTCTCTCAAGCCTGAGCATGGGAAGATAGAGGTCAAGGCTTTAGTGTCTTGGGATCTCCTCTAGGGCTTGGTTGGGGACCTGTCTGAGCAGCTGGGTGACCCCCTGGCCCTGTTGAGTCGCACAGAACTGGAAGCTGCCCAGCAGGAACTGGAACTGGCCCAGAGAGGGAGACAGGTGATCACTCAGGTCAGTTTCCTCCCCATCCTTGCCCCAGAACCAAAACCGGCCCTCCAACATAGACCTTCTCATTAGCATAGAACCTCATCCTTTATCTCCAAAAGTCCCTCTCCACAATGTAGATCTCTGCTTACCTCCAAAAAATTCCCCAGAGTAGGCTTTCTCTCAACTCAGATTGTTTTTGCTTGATCTCAGCACAAGAAAGCTTTCTCTCCATTTGCCCCCACCATGCATCTTTTTTTGTTTTTCTCCTCCTCCACACCAATGGCTCACTAGCTCTTCCTGAGGAGTACTTGTCTCCATTCTCCCTTGCCCCCAGGTAAGCTGGGAACAAGAGTTGCTGCACTTTCTCCAAGAGCCTGGAGTGTTCTCCCCCACACCACTACAGCAATTTCAGCCAATGGGATCTGACCAGGTGAGATCCTCTTCTTTTTTTTTTTCTTTCTTTTTTTGTGAGGCAATTGGGGGTTAAGTGACTTGCCCAGGGTCACACAGCTAGTAAGTGTCAAGTGTCTGGTCTGAGACTGGATTTGAACTCAGGTCCTCCTGACTCCAGGACTGGTACTCTATCCACTGCGCCACCTAGCTGCCCTGAGATCCTCTTCTATCTCTTTTTCTCAGACCAGTCTCAGGACAAATGTCCTTGTGTTTGGGGTATCCTCTATTACTCTGGAACTAGACCAGATGCTGTGTGCCTAGGGAACAGGGTATTCAAGGTCACTGTCCCCTTCAAGCTTTGATTCTCCTTCTTAGTAAGGGTATCATCCCATCTCTCCCAAAGGTTCTTCATCTGGGCTTCCCTATATGTAAATGTCTGTCCCTGCCTGTACATATTGGTGTCTGTGTTCTTTCAATTCAATTCAACAAGCATTTTTTGAGTGCCTCTAAGTACAAGGCACTGTGCTAGGTATTGGAGATACAGTGACAAAAATGAAAAATCCTCTGCCCTCAAGGAGCTTCCATTCTGCTGGAATGATAACAGATATCTATTTAGGCCTTTAAGATTGAAAAAGTTCTTTACCCACTTTATCATATTTTATCTTCCTAAGAACTTTATGTGGCAAACACTACATGTGTGTCCGTGTTGGGGGTTTGTCCTTATCCCTGATGTGTCCTCATCTCTGTGCCTCTGCCCCTGGAGAGAGAGACAGAGATAGACAAAGAGAGAGACAAAGAGGGAGACAGAGAAGGCTGGAAAATGATCAAGGTAGGGGAAGTGGGGGGCACTGTGCTTCCTCCTAATGCCTGCCCATGACCAGGTGTGTGTGCTGGAGCTGGAAGGAGGCTCAGGGGGTATTCCAGGAGAAAGTGGCCTGAAGAAGGAGGCTCAGCACTGGGCCAACAGAGCTGCCCGAGATTACAAAGTCCAGAGTCATGGGCAGCGGGTGAGTTGGGGAAAGTCTGGAATGGTATGGGAAGAAAGAAAGGGCTTGAAGAGGGGAGTTGTGAGGAGAAGGGAAACAATTTATCATGTGAGTCATAGGGCATCTCAAGCTGAAAATGGAGTTTCAATCAAGAGGACTCCCCCTCTTCCCATCCTCCTTCTCAAACCAGGTGCTGCAACGGTTAGAGCTGAAAAGGCAGCAGGCCCCGGAACGGGAGGCCTTAGGTGTGGAACTTCGACTTCAGGAAGTTAAAGAGAGTGTTCGTCGTGCTCAGGTGTGGACATGACTGGTGCCAGCCTAAGGCTGTGTGTGTAAGGGTGCCCTTTCCAAATCCCTTGCCTCAGTGGTCCTGGCAAGAAGAGTTGGGTTGGTTGGGACACACTTCACTGGTGGGACAGGGCATAGGGGAAGGTGAAAAGCTAGAGTTGTTGTGTGGCCCCTTGCTCCATCATGTACCCTCTTCCTCCTCCCTTGTCCATGTGCCAGGTCAGCCAGGTGAAGGGGGCTGCTCGACTGGCTGTGCTGCAAGGGGCTGGGTTGGATATAGAGCAGTGGCTTCGGCCAGCTATGTCCCAGGCCCAGGAAGAGCTGGAGCAGGAGAGGCGGCTCAGTGAGGCCCGGCTATCCCAGAAAGGAGACCTCTCTCCCATGGTGAGATAAGACTTTCCCTCCCAAAGAAAAGCCCATCCCTACTGATTCCTCTCCTCCCACCAAGGAGGATCCTTTCCTCCAGAGTGAGGATGTTTTCAAAGGCTCCCTCCGCCATAGTAAAAACTCGACTAAATTGGAGGACAGACCCTGATCAGAGGATTTATCGCCGTAGCCAAGGAAACTGATGCAGAGGTTTGGGGTTGGGCAAGCACATCTTTGATGAATGGTGAATGCAATTCTGGGGATGGGAGACTATGGTCAAGGAACTGATACCCCCTTCTGTGTCTCCTACCAGGCAGAGGATGCAGAACTGTCAGATTTTGAGGACTGTGAGGAGGGGGGGGAGCTGTTTCAAGAGCCAGCTCCCCCAACCCTCTCCGCTAGGTCCCTCCCTTGCCCGGCACATGTTGTCTTTGGCTATCAGGTGGGAGCACAGTGGTTGGGGCTAGGGAGAGCCCCGGGGTGGGAGAGTGAACACCCCTTGAATGAGAGTGGGGAGGGAAGGACAAAGAATGGTCTGGACCTGAGTCCATACCTGTGGGATTCAGGCCGGGCGGGAGGATGAGTTGACCATCACAGAAGGGGAGTGGCTGGAGGTCGTGGAGGATGGGGACGCAGATGAATGGGTCAAGGTATGTGTTGGGGCCCTAGGGAATGAGGGTGAAGGGGTGAAGGCCCTGGGCTCTGACACTGAGAGGGGATGGAGAGCATGGGAACTATTTCTAGATGGTCCCTAAGGAGAGATGGAGCTGAAGGCCCTTTTTAAGACAGCAAGCTCCTGGGGGGAGAACCCTGGGAGGTTTGATCCAGTTGGATTTCTCCCTTCTCCATCACATCCAATGCCTCCCCACCTTTTCCATCGTGATCAGGCTCGGAATCAGCATGGTGTGGTGGGTTATGTCCCAGAGCGATACCTTGACTTCCCAGACCTTGCTGCTCCTCAGGAGGGACACCACAGTGACAACCCCCCAGGGGGAAATTCCACAGGTGAGGGGGCCTCAACACATTAGGAGACCAGTGGTGTTAAGGTGGAGTGTGTCATGTCCTTGTTATCCCCTTCATTGTCTCCCTGGTCCTGTTCTACAGTGTGCCTGGCCCGAGCCCTGTATAGCTATGCAGGCCAGAGCGCCGAAGAACTGAGCTTCCCAGAAGGAGCATTGATCCGGCTGCTGCCCCGTGCCCAGGGTGGTGTGGATGATGGCTTTTGGAGGGGAGAGTTTGGGGGCGAAGTTGGAGTTTTCCCTTCCCTGTTGGTCGAGGAGTTGTTGGGCCCTCCAGGACCCCTGGACTCCCCAGACCAAGAAGAGGTGATCTGGCTTTATACCTTAAAAGGATGTCTAGTGTTCCCTGCCCTAAGGGTGAAGGGGTGAGGGCCCTGGACTCTGACTCTGAGAGGAGATGGAGAGCATGGGAAGTATTTCTAGATGGTCCCTAAGGAGAGATGGAGCTGGAGGCCCTTTTTAAGACAGCAAGCCCCCGGGGGAAGAACCCTGGGGGGTTTTGATCCAGTTGAATTTCTCCAAAAAGGGTCTCTAAGAAATTTCTCCAGGAGGGTGCAACATCCATCAGGCCTGGGCTATAGGCATTAGCACCTCCCCCCCTCCCCCCTCCCCCGGGGTACAGGCATTTTATTACAACTTGTGTTAGGGAGCTGAGGGGTGGTATAGGATGGAGAAGTGGGGGGAAGGTGAGAGGCAAGGTCTCCCTTTCTCCCAAACACAAGGGCTGACTTCCTCAGAAGACTTCCATTCATAAAACTCCTGCCTTATCTCCCAGATGCTGCCATCCCCATCCCCCCCAAACTTCTCTCCTCCAGCTCCCATCCCTACTGCTGGTAGGACTGCAGGAGCTCTGTCTGAGGGTGAGTTGGGGAACCTGGGATTGAACAGAGACAGAGGACTCATAGGGAAAGAATGTTTTACACCATATCAAATTGAAATTCTTCTGTCAGGCTTCCAAAGCCCTCTTTAATCTAGCCCTACCCCACCTATCCATCTTCTATTCCATGAATCTCCTAAAAGACACAGTCTGCTCTAGTTAAGCCTTTTAAAAAATTGTTGTCTATGTTGTGTCCCACACCACAACTCCCCCTACCCCTGTTGCCATCACCACCTGGAATATCCTCTCCATGCTCCCCAGCATAACTTAACCTTAGCTGAAGGCTTCTGTGATCTGAAATGATCTCCTTTTCTCTCTCTTGAGTTTTTATAACATCCATAACCTTTAGCATGCTATTTAGTATTTAATTATACATTTTCTTGTATTGCATACTATTATTCCATATGTTAATCTTGTTTCCCTAACTAGTTAGAAGCTTTTTGAGAGCCTATGTTTTAGACTCTTTCTGTGCCCTGATAGGGCCCACACAGGAAGGCAAAATAGGTACTAGATAAATTATTGCTTTGATTGATCTGATGGCTCCAAGTTTGCTGACCTCTTGTTCTTTCTCCAAGACCACCCACTGGATTGCTTTGGCCCAGTTGATTCATCAACCCCTCGTCTCCGGCCGGTAAGACCTCTTCTCTGGGGTAGGCTATGTAGGAAGATGGTTCACCTATCCTGGCCTACGCTGTGAAATATGTGGGAGGGATGTCTAAAGGAGATTGGTTCTGGGGTTGTGGCACTGATTGTTGACACTTTCCTTGTAGCTTCGCCCACCCCCACCCCCACCCACCAAAATCCTGGAGCCTGAGAGATTGGAGCCCCTCACCTGAGCCCAATGGGGAGTCCCAGCCTCCTCCTTATCAATGCCTCCCAACTGTTGAGTGGCTGCCACCAGAGAAAGTGTGATGACCTCTCCCCAACCTCATCTCCCCTCATGGAAGCCAAGGCTGGGGCAGGGCCCTAGAACACCTAGGCAGTATAGATGGGTCAGGTTTCCTGTGTTTTGGATTGCCGTCCTGAGGCTGTGGCCACTAATGACTTGTCCCACCACCCACCTCCCTCTCCCCACCCCTGCCCCTGGTGGGTTGGGGGGGAGGGGTCAAAGTTGTGGGAACCAGTGTGCAGATCCGCTGTAATAGTCTGAGCTGATTTATTGACAGTGCAATAAAGGGGCGAGGAGCCCAAGCCAGTGCCTGAGCTTTTGTGTGCTGAGAGGGAGGCCTAATGGGGAGTATTGCTTCGGGTGCCCATCTTGAGCATGGGGCCTGCTCCCAAATGCCAGGCTCAAGCAGAGGAGCAAGTTGATGGAGAAGGAGGGAGCCTGGGGTGAATGTAGGGGCAACTTCTCCTCACCTTTGACCTGTCTTAGGCTGGAGATGAAGTGGAGGGAAGGGATTGAGAGACTGGGGACCACTCTCTGAATTCCCAGCCTGAGATAATAACAGCCCTCTGGGAAGAGGGGTTGTTCTATTTTCCCGGAGGGCAATGCTGTCTCAGAGTAAGGAGGGGGCTTCATGTTTGCCCCTCTTCCCTGCCCAGCCAGCTACTGATCCTTGCAGTAGGGAATAAAGATGAAGCTTGGGGAAAAGGAGAGGGAAGGGGATAGTCTTCTGGACACCTCTAGCCTCTTTTTCCACCGCGCCCTCCCTCCCCCAATTCACATTCTACCTCTGGTTGTCCTTCCTTTCTCAATGCCCCTTGGAGCAGTAGTGCCCTTAGTCCCTCCCTCCTTAAAATCAGCAACATAGGCTGAAGTGTTCAATTTACCTTTCAACTTAGGGAAGTGGTAGGGTGCCCCCCCCTTCCCTGGAAGCAAACACATTTTGGGAGGGCTAGACTCACCTCATTCTCCTCCTGAGCCACCTGGCAGTGACACCTGAGATAAAGAAGGAAAGTCATACCATAAGCTCTCTAATTTCATCTAGTTAGAAAACTGGACCTACTAAGTAGGGACAGTGGCTTTACCCAGTGGCTCTACCCACCCTGACTTTCCTATACACACATCTGACTATTGCCTACCTGGAAATCTGAGGCATCCAGTTTGGCTGGCTGTCCATTAGTTTCCCTTCTGGTCAACACTGGCCTTGTGTCCCTCTCTCTGGCTGCTGTCTCCCAGTCTTCCATGGCTCCAGAGGGCCTCTCAATCAGAGAGGGAACAAGGCTCCTTTCTCTGAGGCCACCATTCTGTACAGGGGAACTAGATAGGATGCCAACCTCTGCTCCTGATGCTGGAAGTCTCTCTGTGGCAGGAGTTCCAGTCCCAATCTGCCCTTTCCTAGAACTCTGGCCACCCCCTGGGTCCTGCTCACCACTGGAGCCCCAACTTCTATCTGTGGGTGAGCCATCCCGATGTTCATGAAGCCCAAATCTCTTCTCAATATGTGTCACCCGGAACCTGGAAGGGGAAGGGGATATGCTGTGGTTCAGTACTGCTAGAGGCTCTCTGAACCCTTTCTCCCAATATTGCCCTCTGCGCCCCCATTTGCTGACATTTGATAGCTTCTGACAGCAAAGGAAACCTCAGCAGAAAGGTGAATCTTAGAGTTCCAGTCTATCCCCCAAGAGTACTCTCTGGCTGGAAACCCTCCTCTCCCCCTACCCTCCAAGATAGGAGGGGAGTAGTAAGGGAGTCTGGATAAATTTCCCAGCCAGGCTAACTATTTTAGAAAGATCTACCACCTGAATGGGAGACCTGAACTCTGCCCCCCTTCTCTTTGGGTACCCCATCCACACCTGCCCACAGAGAACACTGTGGTCTCCCCTGGCCTAGTACGGCCCTTGCCATCTTTGGATCGGCCCTGTCGGACGAGAGGTGGCCTCTTGTTTCGGCTGCAGTGGATACAAGGGGCGGCTGATCCCAGGTGAACTGTATGGTGGTGAGATGGAGTCCCATCCTGTAGGCTAGGAGCACCATCAAGGCTGGGGGAATACAGGAGAATCCTTTTCACTATGCCCTCTGTGTATCCCACCCCCCCATCTTTCTATCTGCTCTATTCTCTTTCCAAAATCTGATTTGCACTAAGGAACCAGTGACAGCATTTTGCCTCTCAAGGCTATTTAAATCCAACGAGGCTACATTGAGAAGTCAATAATTAACCTAAAGAATGAATGATGGGATTCAGGCAGTGATACTCGGATAGTAAAATTATTTGGGAGCAGTCTTCTAGGTGCTCCTCAAATCATACTACCCAACTGATTAAGTTGTGACTTTAGCAGGGGCTAGCTATTAAGGAGAAAATGTTTTCCCGACCAATATTTGGGGGAATTCTCCACACTTCCAGCTCACCTGGACAGCTGTACTGTTGCCTCACCTTCACTGTCCCCAAGCATCTCTTTCAAGGCTTCAGCATTGGCTGTGAAAGAGGAGTGACAAGAGGATATCATAGATGTAGGAATGGAGCTGGGGATTGAAGAGCAGATGCCAATGAGCACTTACCTTCATTTTGGATGATGCATTGGACAATCCTTTCCACTGTGTCCTCATTCACATCCTCATCATCCACTGTGGAGGTGAGGAAAGGTGTCAACTTCAGGGAAAGGGCAAGTGGGGCCAACACAAAGTCACTGACCTTCAGATTGTTCATTTGATTTTTCATGACTACCTTATTTAGCTCCCTAGCAGCTCTTGTGATTCCAGATCAGTGACCACCATAGGATTATGGCTCTAAAGCTGTACTCTAAGCCTCTTAGAGGCCATAGAGTACAATCCCTTTATTTTATAGGTGGGGAAATTGAGTCACAAAGGGATAAGGTGGGGGAGGGGATTGCCAAAGTTTGACAAGGATACATTCTCTTCCTCCTGCCTCCTTTCCACTTTCCCAGGGGTTCTGTTTCTGCCTACTCTATAATTTCAGGAGTAATGAACTGGCAGGTTTCTGAAATAATTCACCAGGGCCTCAGAGTCACTGTGATTTTTGCCTTGTAGTTAGTTACTGAACCCACTGAACTCTATCCCCCAAACTAAACTGCGAAAACTGTCCCTGACTTAGGTTCCTGAAATATGAGCTATGAGTTATGGGTAGCAGGACAGCAAAAAGGGATGTGAGTTCCTCTGCCGCTAGGCAGCACTGGGGGAGTCATATTCCCGCCAGGGATAGGAGAGAGGAAGAAGAGACCTGGATAAGGTGCACTGAGGAGTATTAGTGAAGTGTGCAGGTGTGTGTGACACATACAAGTGTGTGACGGAAGGACATACAAGGAAGAAAACTAAGTAGTCTCATTCCTGGTGATGGGGCTCCCCCTCTCTTTCCACACTCACGTGGCTGGAGCTGGGCATCCTCTGGCTCTGAACTTCTTGATGTCCGACAGCGATAACCCTTCTTCTTGAGTACATGGCAGATCATGAACCCCACGAGGCCCATGAGAAAGAAGACCAGCACGAGAAGGAACAGCATGTACAGCCCATGTTGGGGCTCCGGTCCTGGTTGCAATTCCGACATACGGCCCTGGGGGGCGGGCCGAGCCGGGGTCAGGGGATCCCAAAGAGGGATGCGAGTCAGGGGGAGGGCAGTGAATTCCATGTTTGGACCCCTTCAGGGAGTCCTCCCAGGACCCTCCAGAAACCAGTCCTCCAGTAAATCTAGAACCCTTTTCCCCCTCTCTGCCCAGGAGCTGTCCAGGGAATGGGTGCTAGTCATCCAGGCCCCAGTGCACCTGGTCAATAGGGGTTGCAAGTTGTTTTCCATACTCCTAATCCAACCTCCATCCTTCTTCCTTTTCATATTTCATTGCTTCCTTCTCGCTGCATACACAAACCCCATTCTCTCCCCATCCCCATTCCTCCCAAGGACACTGTAGCTGAAGACTGGACGGAGCTCTATGATGCGGTCCTGGGCATAGTCTGAGTCAGCGCTGGCCCCTCGCTTCCTCCGCAGCCCCAGGGCAGGTCCCCTGAAACGCTCCTTTCCTTCAATACCCTCAGTTTGTCCCACCGCTCTCCAACTCCTGGCTCCTAGAGACATTCTGGACTCTCCTCCCTCTCCAGACTGCCCCCTCCCCCAATTCCCCTGGCCCGGCTGACCTTGTGACCTCTGCAAGGCCCCTGGGGATGCGGTGTGTATGTTCGGCTTTGGCTCCGGCAATGTCCTGGTACCTCTCAGCCTGCCCTGGGAGCCCTTCCCGAGAGCATCCTCCTCCCCCCTTCTCCCCACCCCCCAGGCCACCTCACCCGCTCCGGCTCCGGCTCCGGGCTGCGGCTGCTGGTGCCGTGGCGGGTTGGGAGTAGGGGGGGGTTGAGGTGGGGGTACAGGAAGGCGACGGATAGGGAAGGAGGGAAAGGGGAAACTGGGTTGGGGTGCAGGCGTCCTCTGGACTTTCAGGGTTAGGGATGGGAAGGGGATGGGGGAGGGGATGGGGGGGCCTCTACCGCAGCCACCTCCTAGTCCCGGCTGCTCTCTCTCCGGCTGTGCTCCCTGCGCGGGCACGGGGATAAAGGGGGCGGAGCGGCAGGTGTGTGGGACGGAGTGCGTGCGTGACACCACAGTGTCTGGCACGGCTGGGTCTCCGTGTCGATGTGTCCCACTCGGGGCGTGGGTCTCTCACGCACCCTGGCCAGCACTGGGCGATATGCCCCCTTGTTCTGGTTCCTAGTTGCAACCCGGGAATCCGGGAGCCCCGGCAGGTCGGAAGGTGTCAGTTTCCCTTCAGGCAGGGTGCCGCCAGCTCCCGGCACCTTAGGACAGCCTCTCATCTCCGGCGCCCAGGTGGCAGCGCGGCGGCGGGACTTGAGACCCCTACCTCTCAGGGTGTACGGGAGGGAGGGGGAATGGGGTGCCCATGGACCGGAATAATTAATAAACGTTCGTGGCATTAAAGGATCTTGGGGAATGGGGATCTCTGACATGCTCAGCTTCTCCGGGACCGATTGTGCACTTCAAGTTCCGCGGATACCCCAGGAACACCCTCCCTCTGGGGCTGGGCCCCACCCTCCCCGCCGAGCTCAGTAACCCCAGCTCCAAGAGCGGCAGCGAGCCTTGAGGGGGCGGAGCTACCCAAGCCAAGGGGCGTGGCATCTCTGGCGCGGGGCGGGGCCTCGACCTCCCCCTCCCTTGCGGCTCGGAGCCAGCGGCGACCTCGGATTCCGCAAGGGGCGTGGTGTCGCGCGATGACGCAAAACGCACGGTCCTGGAGGCGGGGCTGGAGGGCGGAGGCGCGGGGCCTGGTCCCCCGGTACTATGGCCAAGACGGTGGCCTATTTCTATGACCCGGATGTGGGGAACTTCCACTACGGTGAGAGTGGGGAGGAGAACCTCAGGCAGTGGAGGGTGGGCTGGGGTGGGGTGGGGCGTGGAGGAGTGGGGGGCACGGGCTCGAGCAGGCTCCCTCTCCTCTGCCCCCCCCAATAACCCGGGCCAAGTGGAGGATTGGGAGGTGGGGGTGGGGTGGAGCGGGTTCCCTAGGACCCTGGGGAGGGTGCATTCTGGGCCCCTTGGGATGGTGGGTCAGCGGCTGTTTTTGACCACCCATTCTTCCAGGGGCCGGTCACCCCATGAAACCCCATCGTCTGGCGCTCACCCACAGCCTGGTGCTGCACTATGGGCTCTACAAGAAGATGATTGTGAGTGTTTCTCTTCCCTCCTCTTCGACAGCCAATGCTTGGGAACGGGGTGCAGTGCGGGAAGGGATGGAGGCAGCTTTGTATGCACTTGCACTTGGGGTGCAGGCTTAGAGGAAATGGAGACAGGGAGACCCCTTCATCCCCTGAGTCATAGGTTAATAGGGATTAGAAGGGTTGTTAATAATAAGGATTGGAAAGGATTTTAGAGATCTCTCTAGCAGACGCCCTTCATTTTATAGATGGGAAACTGAGGCCAAGAGAGGGGAAGTGACTTGCTGAAGGTTAAACAGGTAACCTGTGTAGAAAGCCTGTGATTTGAATCAAGGTCCACTAACTCCAAATCCAACATTTTTTTTTTAAACAATATCATACTACCTCTCATGCTGTCCCACAATATACTTTTCTTGACACAACACGATGCCAAAACCTTAGTACCCCAATGGAATGAGAGGATACTTTGGGTATAGTCCTGTACAAGAGTTAGTTCAGCCCTTCCATTTTTCTGTTTTGGTTTGTATGGTCTTAGGAGGACTCTGAGTTGAGATAAGGGGCTTGGGTTGGCTACTCATATCCTCTCTACTTCCCCCTCCAAAAAAAAAGTACACCCAAAAATCTACCAACAACACACAGAATCTTGTTTCTATGGCTATACTCTTGGCCAAGGCACATGTCTTTGACATGGTTGGGACTTGGAAGATGAGAACTGGAAACATTCAGACTCAGAATGGTCTGCATATGTATGCTGTTGATTGTCACTTTTAGGGTTATATTAAATATAAAATCCCTGGAGGGGTTTTTGAAGAGTAGGGTTACTAAAATGGATTGACTCCCCTCTGGAGTCTTTGGTATATACATACTGAGTTCATTTTCCCATTATTTGCAGAGCCCTGTACTTTGATATAAAGGAGATAGCATTTACCTTTAGGAAATGTTCTTACTATTGGAAAAGACATAATCTCTAATTTCAGAAAGCTTCCAATTAATTTGGGGAATCATAACAAAGAGAACAATAATGCATTATATTTGTATATTGATTTGTGCTTTTCAGAATAGTTTCATATACAATGTCACATTTGAATCTAGAAGGAAACACTAGGGTGGGGGAGGTAGGAGGTCAGCAGACATCTGGACTATGGAGAGAAGGACAGAAAGGAGTGGGGGAGGGAGGAAAGGGTGACATGGGGAACATGGGAATGTGGGTGGGAATAAATACAACAAAAATGACTAACTCAGCATCTTTGCTTTAGCCTCAAATTGATCTTTTTTTCCATAGAGAGACTTTTATGCAAGAAGGAGTGTATCTATATGTGGGTATTTGGGTGGGGAGTACTTTGGAACCTCTGAGGTTGGGCTGAAACAGTCAAAGCCCCCTAATTTGGAATTAATCCTGCCCAAGTTCAGCATGTTTTCTTTATTCCAAGGTCTTCAAGCCATACCAAGCCTCTCAGCATGATATGTGCCGCTTTCACTCGGAGGATTATATTGATTTCCTGCAGCGGGTCAGCCCCACCAACATGCAGGGCTTTACTAAGAGTCTCAATGCCTTCAACGTAGGGGATGACTGGTGAGGGAAGGTCAAGGCACCTTTGATGTATATCAGTGTTGGTCACTGGGGTGGGGAATTAATTGTAGGGAAGAGGGAGGAAGGGGAGCTGTGGGGAGTTTTTATAAAGTACTGTGTCAAATGTAACTGGGGACACACAGAAGTACAGTTCTGACCTTGAGGAATTTATATTCACGTTGGGGAGACCTAACATACAGGATAAATAGTAAAAACCTCCAAACTTTTTAGCTTGGCCTTGAAGATTCTTCCCAATCTTTTTTTTTTTTAAACTGACTCTCCAACTTTCTCTTCAGCTACTCACCTACATGTACCCTTGATTGATTTTCTTTTTTCCCCGATATGCCATGCAAATTCTTTGTCCCCAGTTTTGCCCACATCCTTTCACCTATTCAAATTTTACCAGTTGTTTAGCTCAAGTTCCAGGTCCTCCATAAAGCCTTCCCTGGTGGCTGCAGCCTCATTATTTCTCCTTCCTCTTAATTTCTATAGCACTTTTATCTATACTGTTCACTTGACACTAATTGTATGCTACGTTATGATATCTCTTAAATTGTTCTTCATTTTTCTTTATGTGTGTCTTTTCCCACAGTGCCTAGAATAGTGTTGGGCAAATAGCCATGCAGGAAATAAATAAATGCACATTCTTTGTGTGTATACATATATAGTTATACACACACATGCTTTTTTTTTTTTAATAAAAAGACAAATGAATAAGATGGGAGGTAAAAGGAAGAAGGCCTAAAATGGATTAGGTGTATTGCTGGGAGTGGTGGGGTGTGTGTGTGGTATTGTTCAGTTTCTTGGGAAAGGAGCCAAGGCTCCGGGTCATGTCCTCTGTCTTACAGTCCTGTGTTCCCAGGCCTCTTTGAGTTCTGTTCCCGTTACACAGGTGCTTCCCTGCAGGGTGCTACACAATTGAACAACAAGGTAAGCATATCACTGTCACCCCCATTCCTCTACTGCTATGGCATCCACAACCAACATCCTCATGTTTCCTGTGCCTTAGGTTTGGGGGGGGCTATGATTGGATGTTTGTCCTTTAGATTTGTGATATTGCCATTAACTGGGCTGGAGGACTGCACCATGCTAAGAAATTTGAGGTGAGTATGGGGGTGATGGAGGGAACTAAGGGTGTTGTGGGCATGGGCAGCTGAGGGTGGGGGCCAAAATATGGTGAGGGATGTAGGGGTGAGGTGCTTTTTCCCCCAAAGCCACTCTCCTGCTGCAGGCCTCAGGTTTCTGCTATGTCAATGACATTGTGATCGGCATCCTGGAACTACTGAAGTAAGGAACTTACAGGGGAGGATGGGGTGAGATAATGGGGA